CCTTGGGACAAGCGTTTCCTTCAGTCGTCAGCACCTCAACTGATGTAGACTCAGCTTTACCTTCACGGGTCTTCACAAGCCAGAGGAATGAAAGCAGGAAGATCACGGCATCTTTTGAATGTGTCTGTCAGCAATCACTCTATGCAAACAAACACACAAGCAAATGAGAAGAAGGGAAAAAGTGCGTCGGTTGCAGCAAGAAAAGTTCTAGGAGACTGTGCTCACCTCGCCTGCCGGGAGTTCGGGAGCATTTTTAAGCTCCAGGGACAATGGGCATTTTTAAAAGATGCTTTGGCAAGCTTGCTGTTAATACGATTCATGAGCTCCCATTAATTTTCACACTAATCATGGTTCTAAGACGTCAGTAATTACCTAAGCAATGTTTCACTGCTCGGAAACTAATTCAAACACAAGGAGTCCTAATGAGGAATTCCTGGTAGTGAGAGCAAGTGCCTTTGGCACCAAAGAGAGCTCTTTCCTCTTCTTTCTGGTTTGAGTAAGTTTAGATAGCAGGAACAAAAAATTACGATCAGACTTGAATTTGTTTTCTGAAGGTGGTAGATGACAAAGAACCATAAAGATCACAGTCACTCCTTCCACTGTCACTCGCTCCCCCGTGACTCTGGGCAGGCCCTCTGGCCACTTTGACTGATGGAATGTGACAGAAGCAGTGCTAACAGTTCTCACACCCAGGCTTTGGGAGAAGGGTGGCTCTCACTTCTCGTCTCTCGAAATCCTCTCATGGAAGTCTTGAGCATCCGTGGAAAGGCTCAGCTTCTCTGAGACTGCCCTACTGGAGGAGCGACATGCAGGTGCTCTCTCTGGCCGACCGTCCCAGCTGAGCTCGGCCTTCCGGCTACCTCCACCAAGGCACCAGACGTGACGGCAAAGCCATCCGGGGCCCTCCAGACCAGCCCACCCTCCAGCTGACCACCACCAAGTGACCTCAGTCAGTGCCACGTGGAGCAAGCCTTGTCCAAATTCCTAGCTCACCGCATCATGAGATATGGTCATTTTCTCTTCGGCTGTTGTTTGAAGTCACCGGGTTGGAGGGCATCTGTGAGGCGGTAAGCTAGAACCAGAGCACTGAGCCCAAAAGTCCCAGAAAGGAGAGAGGTTTACTGACTAATGCTCCTCCTGCTCTAAGGAAATGCTCAGTGCTTTGAACTTCATCTTTTTGACCCCAAAAATGATAGAGATACAGAGTTTGCTGTCACTCAACAGCCGCACACATTTGAAGAGATTAACACGTGTCTTTCCAAGTCTAAAAGTCTAATATTAGCTTCAGTGTTGGCGGTTCCTTCACCTCTTCCTTCTGAGCTATGATCTTCCAGGTCCTTCCTTACCCTCCTTCCCGCTGATACTTGGTCAGATGCCGTTAGAGATAACTTGAAGTTGGAAGAGAAGACACATTCACAAAGGGTGGCACTGCTCTTTCACAAAAGCTTGGGAAATAGGACCATTCCATTGAGAACCTCAAAGAGATGCCAGCTCCCCTGGCGCCATCACAAACCCAGCATCCCCATGAGCTGAGGTCCTGGGGGACCGCCACACAGTCTGGTCGTGAACGTAAATGCCGTTTTTTCCCCCTAACATTCAAAAATGCCTTGATTTGCACGCAGGGCTACACTGATCTACCTCTAACTATGTGACTTATTTTTATGTTAGCTATACCTAAACCCCAGATTTGTGGCCACTGTTATGGGGTAAGCCCAGAAATGGCCTAAACCTTGGAGTTTCTGGTTAAAGATGAGTCAGAAACTAGCCATGGACATAGGGAATGTTACCCTTTAGCCACAGTTGCTGGCAGTGGCCCTAGAACAGTCTTGTTCTCTAAAAGCGTGTCCTCAGTGCCCGCCAGGGGGTATCATGGGTACCACCCCCCCACCCCCCCATCCACACTCATCCACCAGGGCCTTTGTGCCACAGCTGGGCTCACGTTTGTGTGCAGAGTCTTTCATCAAAGCACCACCCAAACCCCGCAGAAGGCCCACGTCCAGGGGACTCCTCGAGGTTCCAGGCAGGACGCTCTGGGAGCTAGTGTCTCTGCTCCCTGGTGCTGCACCCGCGACTTCCCCAGGAGGCAGAAGGGCATCAGCTTTGCCATTCTACACCTCTCCCCACAAACGAGTGCTAAACACCTTCGAGCATGCCCTTGTATCGTGAATCGTGGCACTTAATATGGGTTTTGAGTGTTTTCCTGCTGTGATGACATCTTTATTCCCCTAATTTTAATGATGTTTGATCACTTGCTTTTCCAGTACCGTTTCTGGGGCAAGTTCCCAGTGGCTGATGGTGCCCACATTTCAAGTTTGGAATTCTGTATCTCCCAGGGGTTTCCAGTGACAAGTTCACGCTCCCACCAAGGGTTTCCCTACCCAGACCAGGATGAGGTGCCCATGGTACTGGCTTGCTTCTGCCAAACTTGAGTTTTTTCGTAGACTGCTTTTATTGTGGACATAAGGCCGAGCTCGTGAGGATTACTCTTTTGTCTTGGCCATAACCATGAGTTCAAAAAATATGACTCTAATAAAGAAATCTGCCGTTTATGTGGGTCATTAAAAGAAATGCTGGGATCTTCAACAGTATCCCAATTAGCTTTGTTGAGTACGCAATGCCAAAAAACCATATAGATCAACAAAATGTTATTACCGGCGTAAAACTGAAAAACAGGTATAATACAATAAAAACACTCTCTCTGA